GCCACTGAGCCACACCCCTGGCCCTCAATTTTATGTTATTCTTCTTTGCATCATCTAGCAGCTATTGGATTGATTTTTCATGGTCCCTTGCCATTTTTAAGAAATCTTTCTTTTCATGACTGCTAACCACAATCCTGTCTTCTATATCTGATATTCTGTCCTCACATGGGCTCATTCTGTTAGGTATATTTTGGATGGAATTTTTAATCTCCTGGATATCTGTTTGAATCTGTTTCATGGATTCCATTTCTTTCCTATGTTGGGCATTCATGGTTTCCATTTCTTTCCTATATTAGTCGTTCATGGTTTCCATTTCTTTCCTATGTTGGGCATTCATGGTTTCCATTATTTTCCTAAGTTCCTCTATTTTTTAAAAAATCTGTATCTGCTCTAGAGTCACTAATTATGTCTTTCTTTATGGTCACCATCTCTGTAGTTATCTGTGAAAATTGAGAAACTATTTTTGATTTGATTTTTTCTAGAAACTCATTCATCTGCTTTGTACTTCCTTGGGTGGGTTTCAAATTGTTCCACTTCATTGCCCCTTGGGTTTGCCTTTGGTGAGCTGGAAATTTGAGAATGCATCATGCTTAAGTGTCCTGTCATTTTTTTTTTTAGTTTAATTCCTGGGATGATGCTTATAAATTGCCTATGGCAAGTGGTTTTATTACTGGTATTTAGAAGCCTTAGAAAATGACTATTACTCAGAGATGTCTTTCAGGTATAACTGGATTTGGGGTTTTGAGTCTGTTGCAAGATCCTACCTCTTCAATTTATTGGGGATAAGAGGTTGCTACCTATTTGGGCTATCACCTGGTTCTTTGGCACTGGCCTGTAGAATTGTTTATAATCCTTAGGCAATCTCAGTCTTGGCATACAGGAAGAACAACTGATTAGAACAATTATACCACCTTGGCCAAAGTAGTACAATCAGCAATAACAATAGCATCAAATGTAGCCTAGAAAATGACAAACCATGGTAACTATTAATTTGCCACCTTTAACTGTATGAACTATATTTGTGGTTATGTAACAAAATCTAAAACAAACCAGGAAATTGTATTCAGTAAATATCCCCTTAGTATGGTGATTTTACCCACAGAGGAGAAAATTTAAAGGGGGCTTGAGGGGAAAAAAATAGAGAAATAGAAGAAGAGAAAGAGATTAGAAGCAAGGCTGGAGGACAAAGGAAGATTATACAAACTTTTGGAAACTGGTAAAAACGAGGGAAAGAGAGAAGGAAGAAATAAAACCAATAGAATAGAACAACAATAACAAAAAACTAGAAACAATGCTCACACATATAAGAACAAGAAAAAACAATTGAGAAAAAACAAAACAAAAATAAAAGAAAAAATTTAAAAGTCCATTCAAGGTGTGTCTCTGCACTCACTGGTAGACAAGTTGGACACACAGAGCCCAGATCCATGTTGATTAATCCCAGCAAGCCAGCCATAGATTTACAGGGGTGTGGTGGATAATACCAGCAAGACTGCACCTTTAGTTCTGAAGCTCAGGCTGATTTCTGGCTATGAGGCTAAAACTCAATTTTTTCAGCCTGCAACACCCCATGTGCCTCCTGCTGGCTTGAATTTGGCTCCCTGCTGGCTTGAACTTGGCTTCTTGATCTCCTGCCAATTTGAACTTTGTTCTGCCTCACCCGAACAATGGAAGCCACTAGATGGAGCCTGCCCAACACTGCTCTGAGTTCCAAGCTCAGTTGGCCCCTCTCCAAGATAGCTATGAGCAAATCACCCTCTCCTGGGGACATCTGAACCCAAATAACTCAACAGGCACTGCAGTCCACTGCGTCCACTGCTCCATTCCACTGGTACATTTCCCCATGGAGGTCTCTGAGGTCACCAGTAGTCACCATGTGTCTGCAGGTTCAAGTCACCCTTCCCACATAGTGAGTCAGTCCTTGCTACCTCTTTCTTCTTCATTAGAGTCTCTCTTCACTCTCCCTGTGCACTTCAATTCTTGCTGTGTCCTGGGAACCCACTTCCCTCCTTTTCTTCTCCACATTGCTATATTCCAGCATCTGGACACCAAACTTGCTGTTCATCACTCTGCCATCTTCCCAGAAGTGCAATTCTTATGTTAATCGAGCTACCTAGGAACTTTCTGGCCCTGAGTTCTGACTTTGTCTTCCTAATTGCTTAAGTTTAGCTGCCTTTGTCTTTTTGTTTTGTTTTTTTTTTGGTACCAGAGATCGAACTCGGGTCCTTGCGCTTGCAAGGCAGGCGGCAGAACCACTGAGCTAAATCCCTAGCCCCTGCCTTTGTCTTTTTAATTCCTCAGAGTCTAGCTGCCTTTGCCCTTCTAATTGCTGTAGTCTGACTGCAGCAGTCAAAACTGCCTTGTTTTTAATAAAGCTCAATGAAGCCTTCATACTATCTTTTCCCTACCTATAGTGCTTCCTGTCCCTACAACAGGAGGATAATGGCCCACAAATAGGTGACAGGGCTGAGCTCAGCCCATGTAGAGGAAAGGTCAAAAGGTTCCGTCTGTCAGGCATGGTGGCACATGCCTGTAATCCCAGCACTCTGGAGGCTGAGGCAGGAGAATAGCGGTGAGTTCGAGGCCAGCCTGGGCTACATAGTGAGTTCAAGGCCAGCCTGGACTACATAGCAAGACCTTGGCTCAAAAAACAACAAACAAACAAAGAGGTCCTTTCTAGTCACAGGTGGAAAAGGCCCATTCACAGGAAAGTGAGTGGTCTGGGAGGGACCTTAGGGTTTTTGGACTGGGTTTGTGTCCTAAACCTGCAGTTTTGCTGCAAGTACAATTTTGCAGTTGAGCCTTTCCTTGTCTCCTTTCCCTCTCCCATTGTCCTGTCCTGCCTCATCCTGCCGCTCTGGGTGCTCTTGGTACGGGGAAGAGATGCAACTCCCAAACCTGTTAGGTATCCAAAGTGAGAGTTCACGCTCTCTAATATCGAAGAATGAATTCTAGGAACAACGGAGGTTAATGGAAAAATTTGAGAGAAAGATAGCCTCTGTCTAAGAGAGATAGAAGGGGGACTGGAAAGTGGGTTGCCCACTCAACCAACTTCTCAAAGGTGGTTTATGGACAAAGTCACGAAGTGAGGCGGGTTTGAGGTGGGACAAAACTATAGCCAACTAGTAAGATCACAAGTACAGTCGCTTAGGTAATATTGATCCAATGAGAAATCACAAGGTGGGCAAAACTATGAACGACCAATAAGATTATGACAAGTATAGTTGCTTAGACAATATTGATTAAATGGGGAGCCAGTGAGGAAATGAGTCATGTAGGAAGCGTACAAGGAATGAGCAAGGAATTTTGGTGATAAGGAGTGGGTCAGGGGTCTTCCTTGGAAGATCTTGGTCCCCCACCCAAGTGGTTGATACCTTTTAGAATATCAATCACTGCTATTTATCCTACTCTCCTTTTACAATGCTGGCCTTCTGTGAATGTGTCTTCACTCTCCTCCACATTGGCTCCTTGAGAACCAGCCCTGTCTAACTGCCTACAAGATATCTAATTAACTTACCTACAATACTCTGAGCTTGTCCTTGTCTTGCAGAGTGAGCATCCATCCCGGGAGGCTGGAAGACTGCCATAAGTCACCTCAAGTGAGTAAACTGGGCGGGGTGGAGGGAGAATGTCTGCCCCGCACCTGCCCATGGCCCGGGTCCTGGCCACAGGTGGTGCAACCACCACTGACCCCGCAGGGGCTTTAGCCATGCTCTGCCTGTGTGGAGTGTGAATCTGGGACTGCCAGGCACTGAGGGATCTGGAGAAATGGGGACCAGCCCAGGGCTTTGGTGCTGCTGGGGAGGCCGGATCTGACATGGCATAGGACCAGGTTGAGTTTTACATAGTAGAGATGCATCCTCTGGAAGGAATCATGGGAACTGTGGACCAGGGACAAAACAGTGGGCAGCCTTAAGGACTCCTAGGAAGGGGACAATGAACCTAGAGAGCCAGGCTTAGGTAGGGCAGCCAGCTGGGGCTCAGGGGAGCCCAGGGTGAGCTGACTGTGACCTTGTGACTGTGACCTGTCCTTGGGTGGAGAGGGAGGGTGAGGCAGAGTTCACGTAAGAGGAAAAGCTGCCCACACCTGGCCACCCTGCTGGGATTCTGACTTGAAGCCCAGTGAGAGAAGAAGGGGAAACAGATCAGTAAGCACCTCATGTTATTTTGTTTATTCCTCACAAAAGCCCTTTACACCGAGGCATGGTGGCCCACATCTGTAATCCCAGCAGTCTGAGAGGCTGAGGCAGAAGGATCACCACAAGTTTGAGGCCTGCCCAGGCAACTTAGTGACTCAGCAAGACCCAGTCTCCAAATAAGTGTTGAAAGAAGGGCTGGAGATGCAGCTCAGTGAGAAGCCCTAGGTTTCAGCCCCACTACCAAGTGGGGAAAGTCTTTGCAGAAGAGTTGCTATCCCTGTTTTCTTTCTTTTGTACTGGGGATCAAACTCAGTCCTTTCTCTTGCGAGGCAGGCAGCAGAACCACTGAGCTAAATCCCCGGCCCTATCCCCATTTTCTGATGAGGAAACTGAGACACTAAGTAGCTGTGGGTTGGTGGCAATGCCAAGATTTGGACTCAGGCCAGCGGTTCCAGCTCCTGAGCAGTTTCTGCATGGCCACTGCCTCCTGTCTCTGGTGAGTGGAGGAGGAGCTGTCCTGCAGAGCGGGTGCAGGCAGGGACTGGACCTCAGAGAAGTTCAGCTCGAACCGCTGAGGGTGCAGAAGGGGCCAGGCTGGGAGCCCCACTCCATGGCTCTGTTCCTCAGGTGAGCCGGGCCATGGCAGAGTCCAGCACGCCATACCTGCAGCTCCACTTTACTTTCACTTGGTGCCCAGGAGGTGATCCGGGTGTCACCTGGCTACCAACTGGCTCGGAATCGGGAGCAAATTTCTGTCACCGTGAGGGATGAGATGTTCAGTGGGGAAAAGCAGTTGGAACTTGAGATCGCAGACAGAGCCAACATTTCCAGGTAATGTGTTTGGACCCGCACCCAGCTCCTGCTGGTCTGGCCTGGGTGGCCTCAGGCTTTTCATGCAAGACTGGGTCCCCTGCCCAGAACGTGCTTTAAGTTCACTCCTGCCCCCTCCCAAAGCTGAGCCTGCTTTGCTCTGATCCTGCTCAGGAGCTGTTCTCGGGGGCAGGATGGAGAAGAGGTCATGCAATGCAAACTGAGGAGCACGTGCCCCTGGGTGAGGAGAAGGTGAGGCCATCACAAAATCACCTCAGTTTGGTGCGCAGACAGTGTCCAGTGGGGCCTCTGGGAAGCTGGAACCTTGCAGAAGCCCAAAATGCTGCTCGATTCCTACCCTGGAGATCCAGTGTGGAAAGCTCTGGCCCACCCTTCCCTGTGGAGCGCACAGCCACCCTCCCAGCACTGAGCTCAACCCGTCTCTGTCCTCCGAGCCATGCCAAGGATGACCCTGTGCCCTTTACTCTGCTTCCTAAATTCCATGTTCCTATCTTCTCCTCTCCCACCTTCTACCCAAATTCAGGCATCGCACCCCTCACCTGCTCTGTGGGATGGTTCTCAGCGTCTCCTCCTTCAGGCTCTAATTCACTATGAGAACTGTTTTTCCAAGACAGCAATCTATAGGCCAACAGTAACAGAAAACGTACGTGAACACACACATGCCACCGCCACCACCACCACAGGCCCATCTATTGGTGTCTAGAAAGGATACAACCAACTACAAGCAGTGGTGACCTCTGAGGAGGGATTCAGATTGGGGACCAGGCCATGCCTTAGGGCTGCCCTGATCCCACCTGGCCCAGGGAAGCAAGACCCAAGTCCCTCCTTCCACCTGCTGGGGACACTCGGCCCATTTCTCTTTTCCTGTTCATCTTCTGCAGGAAGAGAAGAGGTTGTGTGCTTACAATCAGGCTGGCATCCACAGCCACCTGTTGGCCTCATAAGAAAGTTGTCAGTGGGTGTGGTGGTGCTCACCTGTAATCCCAGCACGCTGGGCACTCTGGGGGGCTGAGGCAGGAGAACACCAAGTTCAAGCCCAGCCTGGACAAATTAGTGACCTAGCAGGACCCTGTCTTGGAATAAAATATTAAAAGGTGGGGGACAGACATGTTGGGGAAATAACTCAGCATGAAGGCCCTGGATTAAATCCCGAGTAGCTCCAAGAAAAGAAAGAAAGTTGTCACCAGTTACCACATAGTAGAACATGATAGCCCATACCTGTTCATTCCGCCAAGCTATGAATGTTGTTTGTACTACAGGTCATGTTCCAAAGACATTATTAGGCTTTCTCACACCTTGGCAACCTCTCTCCCATATCGTCTTGCTCCTCTCCTAGCCACTCCATGTCCAATCGGATGTGGAACACGATTGGCCAAGGGGCCAAAGCTTTTTGAATCGAGGGTGTCCCCTCAGCTTCACTACACATATGTACCTGCCACCGTCTGTACTGCAGCATAGTCAGACAAGGCTGATGACCTACAGCTATCGTGGTGGCCCCAGACCAGAAACAGAAAACTGTTACTGCTCTGAAACACTCTCTCCGACTGCAGCCCGTTCCCTGCCACCATCAATCCAGTTGCCACCTTCTCACTTCCCAGTCCTCTGCTTCTACTACTCCCATTTTGACTCATTACTAAGCCAAGGTCGAACTCTAATAAATGTCGATATCTTCCCACTTCTCCTTAGTAGCACTCCAAACTACCCTGCTCTCTTCTGGCTAATGCTGGGTTGAGTTTTCATCACCCTGTTGCAAAACACATCCTCCAAGACCACCCGTCCATCCTGTCACCCCATGCTGTAATGGTGGAGCTGGTGCAGAACATGGCTGAGTTCCCACCAGACCAGAATCATTTGTCTTAGGGACCTGACTGGCATCGCATGGTAAACTCTGTGAATGACAGAAGAATTGCTTATGCTACAGGGCCAATATCATTTGTGACCTTGAAGAGCAGATCTCAGAACTGACCATAATAATAGAACAAATGAACAGAGACCACCAGGCTGCCCGGAAATTGGTGAGTGATCCTTGTGTTGGTGAACATCTTTACTGGCAGGATAAGATTCATGTGTGCTAGGCAAGAGGCCAATCTCCTTCTGTGAACCATGCTGTCCAGGTGGCAGGACCATGCACCCAGGGGTATTTTATGACTCCGTTCTCATTCATGACTGCAGTTCTCATAACTTGGCATTCTCCAGATGTCTTGGGGTGGGGAGTAACACTGTCTTCTCCACACTAGGGGGTGCCAGTCACTCCCTGTTGGGCCCTTGTGATGAGATAACCCTCAGAGGTTGCCTGGCTCTTACTAATTTCTCCAGTGTGGAGTTTGCTTCCAGTGTGGCTCAAAATCTTCCTTTTACTGTTAAGTGTCAACACCTTCTTCAGAAGGTTCTGAATGTCATTGACACTGTGTGCTTTCAAGGGATACTTCTTGCGATTTTATCGTGTGTTCCAGCAGGGTTCCTCCTTCCCCACTCAAGCAGATCCACCTGGTGGCTGGGTTGGAGCCATACTCAGAATCACCCTCTCTGGTGCTACTGAAACCCAGCAGGTGGCCCGTTGCCCTCTGGTATGGCTCAGGAATATCTGACTCCTATGGGGACCCAGCTTAGAACTCAGGCTAAATCTTCTCCCACTCCTGATTAATTATCTTACTTACCTGAAAGCCTTGCAAAGTTGAGTTCTATTGAAAGGAAATCACACCAGTGCATTAGATCACTCGGCTCAATAGAATGGGTCATTAGGCAAAATACACATTTTGACTCAGGAACATGGGCCCTATGGAAGATATATTTAGAGACTGTTTCCATGGAGAGACCCTAGATGTGGTCTTCAAAACCCTCCCACATGTGCACACCTCACTTATGGTGTGACCTGTAGAATGGAAGGATACTGGCTACCAATGCCTGTAGGGCTGGTGCTGAGCCTTTGGTTGTGTCAGGAGTCCCTTGCTCCTCCCCCGTTGTCAGAGAGGGACAAGGACAAGCCCTGATCCTTTGTCTTAGCTGACAGTTGGCAGTGACTGGCTTTGAGGAGTTGGTTCCTCCTGAGACAGTGGCCAGGGGACCCACTGTGTTAGAATGAAGGGTTACCAAAGGCAAGCAAGTCCTGTCTGCTAGAACCAACATGCTGTCCACAGGGGTTGGTTAACACTGGGCTCTAAGTTTCTTGAAGGTAAATTTGAGTGTTAGTCCTCTTTGACTCTCCCAGGTCAAGCCTTTTATCCAATAAAAGATTGGTTAATGGGATTGTGTATCCAAGTACCCAAAGTTCACAATCTCACAGAGATGGCAGTCTAGCACCGGAGACCAGACCAGCCACAAAAACCAAAAAGATGGTTTCTATGCTCCAGCATTATGAACTGATTAAGTTCAAAACCACAAAGAGCGAGGTAAGACTTGTTCCACTCCCTTAGTAATAACATCTCTCTGATACTCAGAACCCAGATGGGAGAGGTGTAGGGAGGGAGCCTGTGATGAAGAGGCTCCTTGGGATGAGCAGCACCAAGGCCCTCAATCCTGAGTTTTGCCTCATTTCCAGCTCTGCAATGAAATGGAACGCCGCTGTGATGAGATGAAGCAGAACTTTGAAGACAAGACAAGGTATGTGCTCTGACTTGCACACCATGTGCTGAGGACCCTGAGGTGGTGCTTCTCAGGGATGGGGGTTAAGGGAGGTGACACCAGAGTCCTTGTGAACAGGATGGCTTCCCTGGAGGCCACTAAAATGGAGCCGAGGAAAGGTTACTCCTGCTTTTGTATTCTACCACCCATTTTTTTTTCATTTCAATATAATCTTCTTTTGTTGTTGTTGGTTCCTGAGAAGAGCCTGGTCTGGGTAAAATTTCTTTCACCTTTTTTTTTTTTCTTTCCAGTCCTGGGGATCAAACTCAGGACCTTGTGCTTGCCAGGCAGGCACCGTGCCTGAGCTAAATCCCCGGCCCCTAAAATTTCAAGTACTATATTAAATAGGAGTGATGAGAGTAGACACCCTTGTTGTTGTTTTTTTTCACACCCATGTTTTTTTCCTGATTTTAGGGGTGGATGCTTTCAGTTTTTCCCTTTTAGTATCATGCTGTCAGTGGGTTTGCCATAAATGGCTTTCATTCATTTAAATTTCTTTTTAAAATCATAAATGGATGTTGGATTTTGTCAAAGGCTTTTTCTGTATCTGTTGAAATGATCATGTGATTTTTATCCTTACTTCTGGTTGTGTGGTGTATTGCATTTATTGATTGATGTATGTTGAACCATCCTTGCATTCCTGGGATACAGCCAACTTTGTCTTTCAAATGATTTGTTGCATTCTGTTTGCAAGTACAGCCAACCCTTGACTTATGAACTCAATTCATTCCTGAGAGTTTATTGTAACTCAGCTTGGTCAATTGCCTTCAATATCTCTTTCCTGTATAATTTTAGGCCACATTTTCATCCAGGCAGATCTCAGTGACTTACAGAAACATTGGCCCAGGATTTCAATTAACCCCACATAGGAAAGGATGTTGTAATGTTCCTTCCAGAAATCTTTAAGGGTTAAATCTGTATCAGAGACCACCTGGAAGCCCAAGTGGCTGGCATTTCAGAGGTAACTTAACTTTAGTCATAAGTTAAAACTAAAATTCTGGTTGTAACACAAGTTGTTTGTATGTCAGGCCAGTTGTAATTTGAAGATCCACTGCATCTTGTTGAGGAGTTTTGCATCTGTATTCATTAAGAAGAATCCCTGTAGTTTTCTTTTTCTTGTCCTTTCTTTTCTTTCATTCCTGCTGAGTCCTTGTCCAGTTTTGGTATCAGGGTAATGTCTGCTTCAAGGAATGAGTCTTGCAGTGTTTCTTCTCTTTCAATTTTATGGAAGGGCTTGAAGAGTATTGACATTAGCTCTTCCCTGAGGTTCTGGTAAAATTCTGCAGTAAGCCAGTTATGGTGGTGCACACCTGTAACCCCAGATAGAAGTGTCACCACAAGTGTGAGGACAGCCTGGGCTACATAGTGAGACCTTGTCTCAAAAAAACAAGTGAACAAAAATTAGTGGTGAATCCATTGAGTCTTGGGATTTTATTAGTTGATAGAGTTTTTCTTATTGACTCTGTTTCATTGCCTATTATTAAGGGTTTTAACATCTCTTTTGTTCAGTTTTGAGAATTAAATATGTCTGGGAATTTATCCATTTCTTCTAGATTCTCCTGTTTACTGGAATAGAAGTTTTCAAAATAGTCCCTTATAATCCTCTGGATTTCAGCAGCATCTATTGTGATTTTATCTTTTTAATTTCCAATTACATTGATATGAGTCTTCTCTTTCCTTTTTTCATAAGTTTGGCTGGGTTTATCAATCTTGTTTATCCTTTCAAAAAACCAACTCTGGTTCCCTTAATGTTTTTCTCTAACAGCTTCTGGTATTCTCTCTTTGTGGTGAATTTGTGAGATTTTTTTACTATGATGTGTCATGAAGAAGTATTTTGTAGCTATGGTATTTAGGGTTCCATATGCATAATTTACCTGAAAGTTGAATTGTTTCCCTAGATTTGGAAATTTTTCTGCTATGGTTTTGGTGAATAAATTCTTATACTTTTTGTGTCATCTTCTAATCTTGCCTTAACTCCTATAATTCTTTTTTTTTTTTTGTACCAGGGATTGAACTCAGGTCCTGCTTATGTTTACTTCTATAATTCTTAAGGTTGGGTTTTTCTGTGAACAGTTTTTTTTATGTCATCTGCACTCTCTCTTGTTTCTTCATTGACTCCAGTCAGTCTTATATTATTCTTCTTTGCATTGTCTAGCAGCTTCTGGATTGATTTCTTGTGGTCCCTTACTATTTTAAAGAAATTTTTCTTTTCTTGGTCACTGATTGCAACCTTATCTTCTATATCTGAAATTCTGTCCTCACATTGTCTCATTCTGCTGCATAAACTTTCAGTGGAGTTTTTAATCTCTTGGAAATCTTTTTGCACATGTTTTATGGATTCCATTTGTTTCCTATGTTGGGATTCCATCATGTTCCTCAGCTCCTCTATTTTTTTATCTGTGTCTGCTCTAGATTTATTAATCATGTCTTGCACTATGGGCACAATCTCTGCTGTTATCTGAGAAATTATTTCTGATTTCATTTTTTCCAGATCTTTTGTTGCCAGTTCAGGGAGTCCAGGTAGTTGAGTATAAGGTTTTCCCATCTTGTTTCCCTTTGGGGTTGCTTTAGGTGATCTGGGAGTCTGGTTTTGAGACTTGTTTATGTTTCTTCTCATTTCAATGGGAGGGGATGCTGCTGGTGCCCACATGGCTCACCTCCTTGGCATTGCAGGGGACTCTGCTCCTTGGCACTCAGGGCAGTAGTATGGTGGCCCAGAAGGCTCAGCTCCTCGGCCTTGGCGGGGTGTGGCGGCCCTGCTCCTCTACCTCTATCTTGGGCTTTGGGGTTCCTTGGGCAACCTGGATTTTTCTTTTTTTTTTCTTTTCTTTCTTTTTGATTATTTTGTCATCTAGCAGCTGTTTGGTCCAGTTTCCATGATGTCTTGTTCTTTTTTTTAAGGTTTCACTAAGTACATGATCTATTACATCAACTTTGTCATAGTTTTGAAACCCTGTTCTCACATTGGTCATTTCTGCTGCCCATACTTTCAGTATAATTTTTATAGCCTGGATTTCTACTTGATTTCTTTTCATATTTTCTAATATGTTACTAAAATAGTCATTCATATCTTGTATGGTCTTGTTTAATTCATCAATGTTTTGTTTTTGTCTTAAGCTTATTGAACATTTTATTAATTAAATCCTTCATTTGTTTGTTTATTTATATCCTTTTATCTCATTGGATATCTTGTGGATTTGTTTCTTCTTTGATCTCTTCAAACATTTTAACTATTTGGTTTTTGAATTCTTTACCTGTGACTTGCTTCACTTCACTGTCCATAAGGTCAGTTTTGGGGGAGTTGAGAGTTTGGGGAAGAATCTGATGAGGATTGGGGATCAGTTAGAGTAGAAAAACCCTGTGGAGATCTCATTAGTTGGTGTATGTTTCCCTGTGATGTGACCTTGGCTTTGGTTATAGTCTGTTATTTATACACTTCTTCAGCCTACTCAATATAAGAAGTAAACCATTATTGGTTATATCAGCATCTACAGAGCCAATCACATATCAATCAATTAACTTCAAATTTTTAACACTTTCACCCTCTGTCAATAACCAAAAAAGATTGTGATTGTAGTACTGATGACAAGTAGCTTGGGACATAGAAGATGAGGGAAAGAAAAAAATGAAGAGAATAGTTCAGAAAGAAGGGGTGGAGACAAAATAACAAATGAAAGAAAAGAGATATGACTGTTGATCATTGACTGTTGATACTATTTTTATATCTGGAGTGGAGGCCTTGTGGAGAGGGATTTGAGAGGTTAATTATAAGGGTGAGAAAAAGGAAAAAGAGGGAGGAAAGTACAGTTGGAGATTGAAGGAAGCTGTGAGAAGGTCAAAACCAATTAATATGCTGATAGGAAGCTGTGTTTGAATCCCTACATGAAATATTTGGTGAGGGCTAACCTGACATGTTAACCATGAAAGATACTAAAGCACAAATTAATTCATATTCTTCTTTTCACATTATAAACACCTCCCATATGTATATCAATGAAAGGAGAAAAAGAAAGAAACAACCACACACATACAAAAACACAAAAGTAGAGTCCTTTTGGTCCTATTGTACTGCAGTCAGAATTCAACCAATGTGCTCTTTCTTCCTTTTGTTTTCACAAATGAAGAAACTCTGACACATAGCAGTTTGGGAACGGGGAGAAGCTGAAGTCCAGGAAGTTTTGTCCAGGGGAATGTGATGAGTTCAGGTGTTGGGTGAGTCTACTCATGCTCGAGCTGGTTCTCCTCCTATGATCTGTTCTCTTGCCTGCCAGTGACTGAAGGAGCTTGGGAGTCCAGATGGCCCAGAGAGCCTGCTCCTTGTTCCTTCTTCAGACTGTTCTCCACTTAGTTTTATTGTGCTCCTATGGGTATGGCTTACTGAAGGTTTTTTGCTCTGTCTTATGATTGGATACCTTCATTTGTGTCAGGGTGTCAGTGTGGCTGGTCAAGTGTAGCCTTCCACTGATTTTCAAGGGGCCTCTTGTTCTCTGCCCCCCCATAATAATCCCTGCAGCTGCTTCTGTCTGCTCTTTTTATACTATCCTAGGTCAGTGCACCATGCAACTCCCTCTGGCTATGCTGTTCCTCTCTGGCTTTCCACCTGCCCTAAACTCTGCCCACTTCACAGAGTCACTCCCCAGCCCTTGAACTCAGTGATGCCTGAGGCTCACAGCTCAGCAGCTCTGGTCTGGTGGTGGCAGCACTAAGTCCTGCTGCATCTGTGTGGTGTCTGTGAGCAGATATCTCTTAGACACTGAACTCACCAGAGCTTGAGGGAGCAGGGGGAGTCTGGCACTACTTGAGTGTCTTTTCTCCTCCCCCATCATGCTGGTTGCAACCCCTGCCCACCCATGCAACTCCCTGAGCTATGGCCCTCTCTAGGACCCAACTAGAGCCTAACTGGGCCCTGGGTCCCAAGCTAGCCCATGCTCTTGTTTCTTTCTTTCCAGGGAGCCCACCAGTCCTAACTCAGTCACTGCCCTCCAAATGATTCTCTGGCTTTCAGTTTCTGTGGTGCCCTGATCTGCATATGTCGCACTTGGTGGACTCCCTGTCCTAGGAAGCCTCTCCCAGTACAGAATGGTCACTGGAAGTGGATATAAGCAGAGCCAGGATCAAGGGGCAGCCCACTGTCCCTCTCACACACCCTGAGTACTGGACTGCATCTGGTGGGCTTCTTCAGATTGTCTTCCTGTGTTTGGGTCTTTGTTCGCCTTCCCCCATTTCTGAATACCTGCATTTCCAGCATGTCTTCCAAGCATCCTGTGAGCAGAACTGCCCCTACTCAGCCGTGATGGATTCCCATACTTTATCATTTAGAGCAGTTTTAATTTTATAGCAAAACTGACATGCAAATTCTGAAAGTTCCCATGTATCTGCTCTGCCTTCACCCCCAAAGAGTTCCTTTTGTCCAATCTCACCAGAGTGGCACATTGTCACAGTTGATGAACCTACATTGACACAACAGTGTCATGCACCATCCTTAGTTTAAGGTACAATTTTGGTATTGAACATTCTCTCGGATTTTTAATGTATGAACTCATGGATCTACTACCATAATTCCATCCACTGTGCTCTGCCTGCTCATCCCCTAACTGCTGGCAACCACTGACCTGCCACTCTCTCATTTGTGTCTTTTCCAGACCATCACATGGTTGGAATCATCCAGGAGCTCGACATTGCATATTGGCTCTTTTTTGCTTAGCAATCAGCATCTGACTTCTTTTCATCCTTTCCTGTGGCTTGATGGCTCAGCTAGACTTTCACTTTAATACTCATCTTAGTCCTTGCAACATTAGCCTCCTAGATGGAGGTAGAGAGAACCTGGGTTCTGAAAGTTATCCTGGGTGCTACTGTAGCTCAGTTTCTCTAGAGAGCTCTAAGCAAAGGCTGTGCTAGTGATACTGGAGATGAAATATGAAAATATATCACCCAACCTGTTAGATATCTGATGTGCTGAGCTCTCATTCTTTCAAAAATCAAAGAATGAATTCTAGGAACAACAGAGGTTAAGAGTAGGAAGATATTTATTGATAGGATAGTTCCTGAGAGGCAGGAGGAATCCTGAATGGGTAGCCAGGGACCCCACTTTACAGTGCAGTTTTATAGGGGAAAACCCACATGGGTACAACATGGGCCACAACCATGATCAACAATAAGGTTACAAGTACAGTTAATAGTGGTCCAATTGGGAAATAAGTCACATAACAAGTGTAGATGGAAAGAACAAAGACTTCTAGGAAATTATGGGTCCAGAGGTCTCTAGTCACTCACTGGGGTGACTGATGTCTGTCTAGACTTCATTAGGCCCAGTGTTTGTCCTTTCAAGAAGTATGCAGGCCTGGTCATCTTGTCTTTATCATGAGGCCTGATCTCCAGCATATGTGTCTTTAGCCACAGTTGTGATATGTTTCACCTTTTTCCTGTCTCTCTTGAGGGCCTAACTCTATCTGCCTGCCTGCAATATTTCTATCTGACTTAGCTATGTATAATACTCCTCCTTCTGAAGAGGTCTTCCAAAGTACCATGAGAGGGCAAGGAGCAATGACCATTCTGGCTACTTCAGGCTGAAGGGGGTTATGGGTGTGATCAGCAGTCAGAGATACCCTCCAGAGGGTCTATCTAAAGACCCTCAGTAGGCATCAGGCATTCTAGTTGTGGACAGGTTTATAGCTTTAAGTCTGGAAGAAACAAGGCCAAAGAGACAGTTAAATATACATAGGCTGAACAGTAAGATCAACAAGACTATTATGAATATACCCAACAAATTTTCCATCAGGAAGGGCCAGTAATAGCCTTCCATAAAAAGGGTATTTTCCATAAAGAGGTCCAGGGATTTTCAGAATCTGACATAGCCTTAACCTGTTGTTTAATATCTTGAACTGCCAACAGCCATCGAGATATTAGCAGAAGTATCAGAAATGTATACACAATATTCAGCTTTTACAATTGCACAAGTACCTCCTTGTGCTGCTGTAGTCTAATGCCATCCAACTTTGGAGGGTGGCTTGCCTTGTTAACTTTACTTCTTCATTTAGGAGAAAGAGGCCAATTGAGATGTTAAGGCCCATTGAGCATAGTTAATTAAGGCCTTGATGTGTTGCACGACATCCTCTAATCCTAGGGAAGGGACAAAGATAGAAGCCAAATAATCATACCAGTGAAATACAGGGATGTTACTAATGCCTGTAGAGAGGCTTCAGTGGGATTTTTAGAAAATATTCAATTATGTCCAGGATCATTAAGGGTGAAATGTATAGGCCACTCAGTTAACTTGTAATGGTGGGCTAAGCTATGAACCATGGAATTTTTTTTGTGTCTCATCAATGTAGTCTTGTAGCTTATTCTAATAATTCCTTGAAGTGGGGATACCCATCAAGGAAGTCCTGATATACTTGACAAGGGGAGCAGGCCACATATCCAGCAAGATGTTTGTTGTAATGACTGTACATATCCCTGTGCCCATACTAGGAAAGAATTGCACTCTCCTTTAAGTGGTAAAATAATTAGTAGAAGTGCCAAGAATAACATCTTAGGTTACTTATCTAAAGACAGCCTTTTTCTTGAATAAGAACTTTAAGTCTTCTGGGTTCACAGGAGTATTTGGATGGTTGCTCACACTCAGTGACAGTCTCTGGTTCCCAGGGCTTGAGTCGGGTGTGATGTATCCAGGAGTCCAGGCCTGCTACCTTTGATAGCTGATGGAGTTGACAGAATCATGGTGTATGGTCCTTCCCAAGTTGGTCCTAGGGAAGGAGGTCATGAGGGAAGAAACTTTACCAGTACTAAATCTCTGGGTTGTAATAGGAGATTTCTTTTTTTTTAGGCTGAGCTTCCATTAGTTGTTGAGTCTGTTGGAATTTAGCCAGTGAAGTGACATCTTTTAGTAAGGCATCTGTTTCTCTGTCAAAGAGAAAATCTCTAGTGAGAAAAAGACATCCATAAAGCATCTCAAATAGACTGAGACCTAGAAGTTGAAGTGTATTTCTTATTTTGATAAGAGATAAAGGTAATAAGTGAGGCCATTGTAGGTGAGTTTCTTGAGTCATTTTGCAAAGATGTCTCTTTAGGATCGCATTCATTTTTTTCTACCTTTCCCTATGATTGTAGTCTCCAGGCACAATGGAGGTGATAGAGAATGCCCAGTGTCTGAGAGACACCCTGTGTGACTGTTGCTTTAAAAGGCCCATTATCACCCTCTAAGCTATTAGGAAGTCCAAATCTGGGGGTGATTTCTGACTACTTTTTCTTTTTTTTTGGTACCAGGGATCAAACTTGGGTCTTGTTTGATCTGCTTGAGATCACTAAGAGGAAGGGACACATGGACATGAGCATGTCTGAACGTGCTGTTTACTTCTTGGAAGGGATATTGTCCTTGAGGGGCTTCAACAAAGTTAGCTACAAGTGGATATAGTCCCACAGAGGCTCTAATTATAGCTGGTTTAGAAGCCTCACTCTTTGACTCTAAAGGTAAGGGGGAAGGACCTCAGACTCCAAAGGGCAAGTAAGAGTGGATGGGGCTTTGATTAGGGTTACCTTGGAAACCTTATCCTCAGGGTCCAAAGGATAGGGTGGGAAACCTCAGACTCAATAAGGACCAGAGGTGTCTGGTTTTTCTGTGGTTTACATTTACATTTCAAACACAAATCAGGATTATCTCTTAATGCAAAGAATATTTGAACATAAGGCATTTGTGACCATTTTCCCTCTTTTTTTAACAGTACAATTCTAGTTATGAAACAGCATCATAATCAATACTTGCCTCTGTATTCCATTTTGGCTCTAGAGGATAGGCATGCCATGCATGGGTGTACAAGAATATTATGCTGTTTTTCCTCAAAATGTGGGGTTTGAAACTGCACCAGTGTTTTAAAAATGCATTCCAAAGGAGTAAGGGATTTTGGCATTGAGGACCCTATTTGTGAAACAAGAGAAAGAATTGGCATTCCTTTAATTTGTACTTGATTTCTATATTCTCAAGGCATCCCCCAAGTTCATTCAGCTCCAGGGCAGGTGCCCGCCATATGGAGAGAACCCAGAAGATAAACCGGACTGGACTAGCCATCCTTTCACTTTACATCACACAATCTTATCTTCCCAGGGAACTCGTGTTCTTACTCCCGTAAGTATTTTTTAAAGTACAAGTTACAATTGATTTCAGCCATAAGGATCATGTTCTAAAGAAGGAAGCATTGCTAGCCAAACTGATAATCAAGGATCTAACTATTGCTTTCTAATTCTTTGAGAAAGAATAGGGCAGATAGATCAAAGGACCGCACCTTTCATCTGCAGAAGAGATCACATCTACAGATAGGCAGAGACAAACAAATGGCTCAGAGGAATTGTCCCATGAAGAAGCCTCCAGGGCACCTGTTATCTACCCAGTCACCTAGGCAACCTTCCTCAGTAGCAAGACAAGGCTACACATCGTTCAAAGTCCATTCTAAGACTCTGAAGGCCACAAGTTAAACTTATACCTGTCACCTAGCAACCACAGGCACACTTACCAGGTTTCTACGTGTGCATGGAGGAGGAGAAAGGCTGGTTGAAGCTCTTTCTACTCTTAGTTAGCAAAGCACAAATGCAAGTCACTTCTCTGCTATCTGTTCTGTGAAAGACAAGCAATTTGTTACAGGCTCTTTCTGCCTGAGGCCTTCTAGAAGGGTGCAATCTAAGGTAAGGTATCAGAGGAGTTCTAAAGTTAACTCCCAACAAGTTGGAGAAAAGCTTAGAGGGACTTTATAGCCTCCCACAGATTTATTAAAACTTCTAGAGAGCTGCTGTTTTTATTTGTGCCTGGCTCCATAGGGGTCTACCTTACTAGCAGAGAGAGAACAGTTCAAACCTGTAGCTCAGTTCTTAAAGGAGGCTTGAGAATGGGTCTTATCAGCATTCTTTTGGGTCATTCTGAGATAGAGAATACCTGATGATCATTGAAAGAGTAACCTTTCGATTCATTGAGGAATGCAGGCAAGAACAATAGATATCTCGAGATTTTTTTGCTGATTACCAGTCAGGACCTAGCTTCCACTGGGGGACTTTTGGGTATCTGCCAGAAAGTAGCCCTGGCCATAACTCCTCAGTTGTCACCTCGGTTTTCACAGCTTCCATGCAATCGAGACCTGGAAAGAGATCCAGTTGCCCATCTGATCAACATTCCATTAGCCATTGGCTTCATTGGGGATGAGGATTCACTAGAGGGTATTTGAAAAACACTCTCCTCTGCTTTCAAGAAAGGGGTAGCAGCCCTAAAGGTGATTACTAGCTGGCAGAGTAACCACTGTTTGTCTTAGCGTTCTGTAAGAGACAGATAAAAGCCTGAGCTGTCTTTATCCAAGATGATTTCATAAAAGACCCATTTTACAGCATTTTAAAAATTTACTTATAGCTACTGTTAAAGTCCAGTAGGTGGTGCTCTAATGTTACTTTTCCTTAGTGCTGGCTAAAGTAACAAATTAGTCAAGCAATTAATATAAAACAGAAACATAAGGGCTGGGGATGAGCTCAGTGGTGCCACACCTGCCTGGCAAGTGCTAGGTCTTGAGTTCAATCCCTGGTACAGAAAAAAAAGTAAAAACATAAGATCTTGTCTGCAAAAGTAAAATATCCCTTTGAAGAAACTTCGTAATCATTTTAACAAAAGGCAGTGTATAAGAAGTCAAGGAATAAAGCAGTTTGAAAAGGCAGGACATAAAATTCAAGGACAACAATTTCAATTACCTTAGCCGGATACAATCCAGAATATATTAAACAAAAGCAAACTCTTACCTCTTGTTAATTATTTATCTCAGTGAGCCTCCAATAATGATACAGGAAATGATACTGGAGATGAAATGTGAAAATACTGTATCTCCCAACCTGTTAGATATCTGATGCACCAAGCCCGTGCTCTCTACAAGATGAAGAATGAATTCTAGGAACAACGGAGGTTAAGAGTCGGAAGATATTTATTGATAGTGTGGGACTGCATAACCTTTGCCCCTTTTTCTCCAGCCCCATTGTGATTAAAATGTGAGTTAATGGATGGAGATGTTTGTTAGTCTAGAGATGCTAGATAGGGATCTGTAACCGACCTAGGGTCCCAGAGTAAACTACTCAACTCTTTGTTTATCCAGAACTGATATTCCAGGCACCACAATTGTTAGAACAAGCTGCAGATGTCTGCTAACCATCAATATGTGACAGTCCACCACTAACCTTTGTCCCCTTTTCTTTGATATGTTAACTTCCCCCTCAACCCCCTATAAAAACAGCCTCGGATTCTGAGCCAGTTGCCTCTCTAAGCTGTTTTGCTTCGGGAGTGGAGTGCCGTCTGGCCAGACTAATAAAGGTCTGTTTCCCAACTTGGCCGGTGTGTTCCTTCCCAGGTGGTCTTCACCTTCCCGGGTGGTCTTCGCTGTAGTCAGCTCCTTGGAGCGTTTGGTAAGGCTCTTGGTCTTACATTCTGAAGGCACCGCTGGGATTCCTGGGTGTGCTTCACTAGTCAGCTCCTCGGAGCATTTGGTAAGGCTCTTGGTCTTACATTCTGAAGGCACCGCTGGGATTCCTGGGTATGCTTCACTAGTCAGCTCCTCGGAGCATTTGGTAAGGCTCTCAGTCTTACATTCTGAAGGCACCACTGGGATTCCTGGGTGTGCTTCACTATAGTCAGCTCCTCGGAGCGTTTGGTAAGGCCCTCGGTCTTACAATAGGATGGCTCCTGGGAGGCAGGAGGGGTCCCAAATGGGTATCTGGTGACTCCAGTTTACAACGGAGTTATACAGAGCAAAACCCCCTGGGTACAACGTGGGCCACAGCCACAATCAACCAGTAAGGTGACAAGAACAGTCGCTTCATTAATAGTGATCCAGCGGGGAAACAAGTGTGGGGGTGGAAGAACAAAGACTTCTTCTAGGTCTAAGGCCGAGTTGTGAGGAGCCCAAGGGGAACTAGGCACTTCGGTACAGAGGGCATGGGGTGAGGGTGTTGCCAGGGTAGGTTCAGGGAGCCCCTGGCTGTGGGTGGGGGCAGAGCTGTGGTAGGGACAGTGATGGAGGGGAAGACTGGAAGAGGAAGGGCCGCACCCCTGGGGCCTGCTATCTTCCCAGGATGACAGATAACGGGTCCAGAGGACTCTGGTCACCCACCGGGGTGACTGATGGCTGTCCAGACTTCATTAGGCTCGGTGTTTGTCCTCTGAGGAAGTATGCAGGTCTGGTCTCCAACAGATGTGTCTCTAGCCGCGGTTATGATGTGTTTCACCTTTGTCCTGATTCTCTTGAGGGCCTAACTATCAGACTGCCTGCAGTGTTTCTATCTTAGCTGTCTATAATCCTAGTAGAGAGGGGGTCCATATTCCTGCCAGCTCCATTCAAAACAGTGCTCTAGAAAATCAGGGTCCTCCCACCCTGTCTGGAGAGAAGCCAGGATAGTGCTCAGTAAGGAGGGCCCAAGGAGGGAACAGGCCGGACACCAGCTCAGCCCCGGGCTTCCTTCCACTGATGGCTGTGGCTTCTGGGTCCCACAGGGCACTCACAATGGCTCACAAGGCGGAGCTCACTGAGTTAGAGAACAACTACAGAGAAGCCCTGAAGGCTGAGAAGTCAGCAGCCCACGGGAAGCTAGGTACTTCGGGGCCATGGAGCAGTGGTGGGAACGGGTGGCTGTGGGTGGCTGGGGCAGGCTGTGCTTTCCTCCTGGAGCTGGGGTGGGGCTGTGATGGAGGAGGAAGTTGAAGGGGGAGGACTCTCTCCTCCCAGGAGCCTGAGCAAGCCCCTCAGTTTGAGCTCCTCTCCCCATCTGCAAGTCTGCCCTCTCCCGTGTTCTACAGTATATTTTAAAGTTTACAAATAATCACAACTCTTAATTAGACTTTGATAATTTTTCACTTTCTAAAGAGAAAATGTGTTGTTTACACAGTCACTGTAAACCAGGAAATGTACTAGAAAGAGAAGTCAATGCCCAGAGGGTTGGCTCTGGAGGGAGCTTTATGCCCCCTGGCCTGCGCTGTGCAGGTTTGGGGTGCAGCACAGGCATTTGGGTGTTTGCAGGGTGTTGTTTATTGCTTTAGTCTTCTGCTCCTGGGGTTGCATTGTGGGTTTGGACACAAGTTCTTACCAAGTAGCTGGGCTGGACTTGAACCTGTGCTTGTCCTGCCTCAGCCTCCTAAGAGCTGGGACTGATGACTGCCACGTCTGAGAGCACACGGTTCCAATAAGCCTTCAGAGTGATTTCTGGGGCAGCCAGAGGTTCCACAGCCTAGGCAGCGATGACGTACCTTTCAGAGCTGTCAATGACGCAAATAGCCCGCCGCTGGCCTAGGGAAAGGTTGGCGTGGGAGGCGAGTGGGCAGCTCACATTTAAATTTAAAAGTGCAGGTCAGATGAATGAGGATGACCCCATTGTCATTTTCTTTTTTCCAGAGGAGATGCAGAAGGAATATAAGTATTTGAAGAACATGTTTCATCTGTACCAGGTGAGTCAGAGCAGTGCAGTGGCTCCGAGAGTGAGAGGCAGGCTCACTCCTGGCCAGGGGCAGAGGTGGCCAGAGCTCCTGCCCGTCCAGTGGCATGCGGGACCCAGTGTCTCTGGAGTCAATGGCCATGAGGCACTAATGCACACAGGGAGAAGCTGGACCTCAGGGGCCACTAGCCCTAAGAGGCCAGCTGAAGAATATACCTGTGCTGATGAAAGCAATAGAAGCTCATTGACTTTCATAGACAGAAATAACCAACAACAAGAAGAAAGGAATTCTTTGCCCCAAGACAACCTCTGTGAATGTTTGTACTTTGTGAAAATGAGCTGAGATCCTGTGCAGTGGACTCTGTGGTTGGTTTTGTGGTTGTTCTGCAGTCCTGAGGATTGAATTTAGGGCCTTTGGATGGAGCTATAGCCCCAGCTATTTTTATTTTTGATTTTGAGGCAAGTTCTCACTAAGCTGCAGCACCCAGACCTGGGCCTTCCCTTCTTGGGTTCAGGACATCTGAGACACCAACGGGAGTGGCACTGGCTTCATGTTATTTAACCTCAACCACAAAAAAGTCACATTCCTGTGATCTCAACACTCTGGGAGGCTGAGGCAGGAGGATTACAAATTTGAGTTCAGCCTGGGCAACTGAGTGAGACCTTGCCTCAAATCTAAAAAAAATAAAAAGTAAAAAAAGAGCTGGGAGTATAGCTCAGTACAAAGTCAATGGATTCAACCTGAATATGAAGAGAAAGAAAAAAAAGAGGGAAAGGGAGAGGGAAGAGAAAGATTTGGTGAGAAAAAAATGGTCCCTCTACAAAATGTGTCATTGTTGTCTGAGAGTTGTAGACTGTGCCCATCAATCTACTCATTAAAATAGGCTTTTTGTTGTAAGGAAAAGTTTATTCCAGTTAAGAGGGACTAAAATCAGGGGATTCTAGCAGTGAGCGGGGAAAAGCCGAGTTTATCACATCTGTGTGTGGATGGGCTGACATTGGGAGAGAGAAAGCAGCAGCTGGCTGGGAGAGATTTCATCTGTGAGTTGGATGGGCTAACACCAGGAGAGAATGGTATTGGCAACTGGCGGGAAAGGAATTAGGCTTCTATAGGTATTGAAGGGCTAAGGAATCTGGGCTGAAATGTTTACGAGTTGGATGCCCAAGGATGGTTTGCTCAGGTATGTAGACAATCACTGGACTTCTCAGCGCCAGGGAGTTTATACTTCATTTTGAGTCCATTTGCCTTATTTACTGAGAAGCAGCTGTTGTTTGTTGAAAGCAGCCTGTTTGCTTTGTCCTGTTGGTTTAGGGCACTGAGTGTGGACGGTTAGCTCCAGGGATTTTCCTCCTTCCCTCAGTGCTGTGGAAGAGGATCTGCAATGGGGAGCTGTGGGTGGCCCTCAGCCCCAGCTGGGAGCTTCCCTCAGGAGTTACTGGAGGGGCCTCATGGGGCAGCTGCTGTGTGGGAGGGGAGCTGCCAGCCCCCAGCCCCTTTCTGACCCTTTCCATATGGCTGCTCTGCAGGACACCATTCACGAGGAGATGGAAGACAAGTGGTCCAAGCGAAAGGCAGAGTGGGAGGAGGGCGAGAAGATGGAGCGGGAGAAGATCCTGCTGCAACAGAGTAGGTACTGGAGACTCCCAGCTTTCCATAACCAGGGCTCCAGGCTCCTCAGGGAAGCTGAGCAGCGCCTTGAAATCGCCAGGGTAGAGGTCCCTGTGCTGGATCTAGGATGGGAGGTGCCTGGAGTTATCCCAAAACAAGTGATGGCTGTGGGGCAGGGGTTGGGTTTTGTTTCTTGATTTTTGTTTTTTTGAGACAGGGTTTCACTATGTAGTTTAGGCTGGCCTTGGACTTAATATGTAGCCCAGGTTAACCTCGAACTCACAATGATCCTCCTGCCTCAGCCTCTGAGTGCTGAGATTACAGGCATGTGTCACCAGGCCTGGCCAAGGGGTTGGGTTGTTTTGAAATCCAGGGCTGGAGATTTAGCTCAGTGGTTCTGGCCCCTGCCTTGCAAGCACAAGGTCCCAAGTTCAATCCCATGTACCAAAACAAAAAAGAAAAGAATTAAGGAGAACGACACCTGCAGCAAGGGATCTAAGCCTGAGCCTTCCAAACCCCCCAGTTCCAAGTTTGCCTGTCATGGGCTAGACCAAGAGTTATTAAATTAGATTTTGTCATATTTACTGGTGGGGTGGGGGATCGCAAACCTTTGTACTTGGAGCCTCTGCTCCCCTACACTCCCCAAAGGGAGCCATGTTGATGCATATTTTAATATTTCCCATGCATGACTCAGAGCTTGGATTATCCAAAGGGCCCACAGGTGCCTCCCCTCCTGGGTGAGTGGAGGGAGGGGAATGGTCTTGGTGCCAGCAAGCAGCTGAGGCGGGAGTGGAGCAGCTGAGGCGGGAGTGGCCCTTCGCAGACCCACTCCGCCTCCCACAGCACCTCATCCCTCTTATGTTTAGTTGGTTAAAACCAAGTTACTCATTTGACAGCAGGGACATCTGGGAAAGTCAGGGACTCTCAGCCCTAGGATTAAGGAGGTGGAGCTCCTTGAACTAACAGCCTCACCTAGAGTCTTGGTGTCCCAGAACTGTCAGGTAAAAGGGCTGAAGACCAAGACCAGACCAGGCCACAACAAGCCTTTATTAGGGGAATAGATCTGCCGGGCTGTCTCTGAACAAAGGAGAGACAAAAGCAATATGGCTGGGGCAGGGAGAGTCTTTTATAGAGACTGGGGTGGGGTTTGTAGGGGCTGAGGCGGGGTTGAGTGAGGTAGTGACTAGGGAATGGAGGAGCCGGTGATGTCACTAGGTGGTAGGAGGTGAGCGAGTATTAGGTTACTCTCTAGGTGGGAACAGGGGCATGCTGGGAAGAAGGGTTTGTTCTTTGGTGGGAGCAACCATCTTGGCATGACGTCACACAGGGGAAGGGGCAAGGCACCATAGGAAGAGGGCAGCAACTATACATAATAGCTGCTGAGGTGGTGGGAGACCTATCAAGAACCAGGTCACCTCCTGACTGCTAGCTGTGCATACACTGTGTCTCCTGTCGCCAAAGTCTAAGTCAGGATGCAGCCTCTGGTGCTGAAAGGCAGAGCTTAGCTGCTTGCCAGGAGGAGTTCTGTGGGCCCTCCTGCTCGCTGGCCCCTCTGCTGCCTGCTCAGCAGGACTTGCTTGCTTCCGGGCTCCGTCTTGGGAGTTCAGTGTTAGCCGACCTACACTCCAGCCCTGGGGCCAGAATGCATTTTATCCCTGGAAGAATTGGGTAGGTGAGAGCTTCATTTTAAGAAAAAAGTGTCCAAGAAAGCACAGTGTTTACTTCAGGAGAGGGAACAGGTAAAATAATAAGCAACAGATCCAAAAGAGACTAGAGCCAAAGGGACAAGAGTGTTGTCAGCAAGTCCCCCGTGGCAGGGGTGGGAGGACTGCACCACCCTGCCCTGCTGAGCTTCTCAGGGCAACTGTCCCCACCCCAGGCTGCCAGGACCTTGGGATCCCTTGGGAGTGGCTTTTCCTCAGATATTTGAGTTTCTCTCCACTCCAGCTTCCCCACGTTTACACACAGATATGCTTTTCTTATCCCCTCCACAGAATACAAGATGACAAAAAAGTTTGAGTTAGAGTCTGAAGAGGAGAAGAGGGGAATGAGTGAATCCTACAGTGTTACCTTCGAGAGCTTCATGCATGAGAAGGAGGTAACAGCACACGAATAGCTGAGGATGTCATGCAGAACCCAGCTGTGCCCACAATGAGGGGCTCTTTGGGCTTTGGGGGGCATTGGCTCCGTCCCCAGTTTCCCTGGAATATATGCAAGCAGGTTGACCATCTCGCTGCCCTCGAGCCAGACCATCTCACCACTGTATTCACAGAGTGGGAACTGTAAAGAACAGGAAGTGACAGAATGCTTAGCATCCAGAGCCTGCAGCTCCCTGCTTTGCCAGCACCCCATCTCTGAATGTCAGCCTCATCCCTGGCTGTAGGTGAGGTGTTGATGCAAACTAAACTGAGAACATTTGGTCATGTGCAGCTCTTAGTAAATAAGAGTAGCTCACTGAGAAGTCGGGTCGGCTGATGGCTAGCACGTCTTCCTGCCAGTCCCCAAACCTTTCTCCTGAGACTAGGTGGTAAGAAAGTAGGTCGCAGACCAAACTTCACCAAACATATGGACATTTACAAAGCAGAGATGCATTAGCAAGTAGGTTTCAAACTTTCATACTGCCACATCTCTGAGCTTCTAGGCATGCAGAAGGCTGGCTGGCGGCAGGTAGGATGGTGCTACAGAGGCAGGACTCTGCCGTCATCCTAGCAGACGGGCAGCCAGTGCCGCTGAGATCAGGTCTGCCCCACCACCCCTCAGGGCACAGGGAACAGGCTCTGTTGGATTCTTGTGCTCCTCGCAAAAAATGGAGAATGACTTTACAATGTTTTCTATAATCTGAATATTTCATCTATGTGCCCATTTGTAACCACCATGCTAATTTAAAAGCCACTAATTTCACCAATGAAAGTCTACTTCTGATATTCACTTATAACTTACTGCGCAAAATAATAATGTAGAATTGGAGCGTGTTATGCAGCAGGGTCCAGAGAGCTTGGTTGTGTGGTGAGAAGTAGCAGCTCTTTCATAGGAGACAGGGTCTGCATGTACCCCTTCCTTCCTCCTTCCTCTTATGTTCTTGGTGACTCTGAACACAGGGTCCCTCTCAATGAGGTATAATATACTTAGCAAAGTCTTATGTGTGGAGTTTGAACAGGTTGACACATGCATACACCTGTGTAACCAGCACTCAGCCCCAGAGCTTCTTACAACCCAGAGAACCCTTGGGTTGTTTTCCGGTTGAGCTGCATCTCCCCAGCCTCCCTCAGATGGTTCTACCGCCATAGATTGGCTCTGCCCGTTTCTACACTTCATATAAATGGAGTCTTATTGTTACGCTCTTTTGTGTATAGCTTTTTCCTATCAACAAAATGTCTATAAAATGTATCCACTTGTTTTTCATATCTGTAATTTCTTCGTTTGTTATTGCTCAGTAGTTTTTTTTGTAGAAATGTTTTTACCATTTTTCTGGTTTTGGAGATTTTGGTTGTCTCCATTTATTGGCTTTTATAAATAAAGCTTCTATAAACATTATTGTACAACCATTTTTGTAAAAATATATGATTTCTTTTGGGTTTGTACCTAGGGATGGTATTACTAGACTCTAGAGTAGCTACAGGTTTCACTTTATAAGAAATTGATGAACTATTTTCCAAAATAGTTACATAATTTTACTCTTGCACCTTAAATATGTAAAGTCTGGTTGTCCCACATCCTCCAAAACAATTACTATTGCCAATCTTCTAATTTTGGTCATCCCAGTGGATATGAAGTGTATTTTGTTATGGTTTTAGTTTTCATGATGACTAATTACACTGGATAATTTTTCATATGCTTGTATGTCTTTTCTGTGAAGTGTCTGCTCAAGTCTTTTATAATTAGAAAACTGTAAGATGCGACATAGAAGAGTACGTCATACCCTGTGGGTACAGAGTCTTTGATATGCATGTTACAGAGTGGCTTCCAGCCCGTGGCTGGCCTTTTCACTTTGCTAATAGTATCTTTCAAAGTGCAGAAGGTTTTAGTTTTGATGAAAGGCAAATTATCAATCTTCTCTTTTTACGGTTAAAGTTTTTTGTACTTTCTTTGCCTATTTCAAGGCCATGAAGGTATTTTATTTTTTAGAAGCTTTATAATTTTACTTTTTCTGGTTCTGTAATCCATTTGAATCATTTTTATGTGTGGAGAGAGACAGAGCTCATGAATCACCTTTCCGCATATGAATATCCTGTGTTCTGGCACCATTTTTTGAAAACCTTTCCTTTCCCCCACTGCGGTGCCTAGGCATCTTTAGAAGTGAGAACAAGACTCTCCCTTCTGGTCCATTGCGCTATTTGTCCACACTTTGTCCAAGAACACATTGCCTTAACTACTGTAACTTGAAACAGAGTAGTGAAGATCATCTAACTTTGCTATTGTTCCTCAAGATTATTTTACCACTCCTATATCCTTTGTATTGTCATATAAACTTTAGAACTAGTTTATCAAGTTTGAAGTACTTGTCAAGAAAGTCCTGGTACTCCTGGCGTGAGGTGCACATTGGTAATCCCAGCACTTGGGAGCCTGAGGCAGGAGGATCACCGTGAATTTGAGGCCAGCCTGGGCTACATAGTGAGTTCAAGGCCAGCCTCAATTAGAGAGTGAGACCTTGTAAAAAAAATAGTACTGATATTTTGACGTGGATTACATGGCAAAAAAGATCAATCTGTGCAGAATTGAATTCTTCGCAGTATTGAATCTGTACAATGGTTTAAGAAAAGCTTTTGATGAAAATATAATTTCTTTTAACATTTGTCAGTGTGATAAGTTTGAAAATGGGATTTTCATTATTTAACTTCAAAATGTCATATATTTGTTGATAATATGTGTGTTATAATACCAATGTCTAAGCTTTTGTAAATATTATATTTGTGAATCCTCTACTAGTTTTCTTAATTCTCTCAAAGAAAATCCAGAACCACAGTGCTGACTTTGTCCAAATAAAAATGTTTTTAGGAGCTATTGAAATAACATGAAAGGGACACAATGCAATTACAAGAGATGAGGAAGACCAAAGAGGTAAGTTGTTCATCCTTCCCTGTGAAAAAAGTATTTTACAAAGATCAGTAAAATGATACACTCTCAGAAAAGTGGAATCTATGATAATTTTCCCAAACCCAACTTAAAAATGGAAGACCTAAGGCTAAATATGCTAGATTTAACAACTTGGAGAGGATTTTAGAACTGTCTGTAAAGCAAAAACAATACTGCCTTTCTGAGAGCCGGCTTTGAACTCTGTATCACCAATATACTGCATCATCATCAATGTTGGATAACTTGTATTCCAGCCACACTTAAACCACAGAAGCATCTTAGATTAGAAAATGCTCGCCCTTCCCTTTAAAGCTTCCCTTGCCTGTCTCCAGTCTCTGATGAACCTCACACATGACAACTTCTGCACGGGACTCTGTTCTGCTGCAACACACGGGGCACTTTGCGAGGACATCTAAAGAGAAGCAGTTCAAACCTACAGAGTGTTCTGTGGTCCTTTCTTCACTGAGAATTTAATCTGGATCCAAAATGGATGTGTTTGGGAAGGAAGTACCCATTGTGAAGGGTGATGAGGAAGGACATCTTAGAGCCAGTGTGGGGCAGCGTTATTGAGAGGCAAATGGACCACAGTGTCCTACAAGGTAAAGGAGCTGGCTTTGGAGTTAGGTAGACCCATCCTAGTAACTGCTTTAATGAGCTTGTCATGTTTTAATGAGTATGATACTAATTCTATCACTTGTATCATTTTAGGGTCTATGAGTTGATTTTTTGCCCTCATTTATGGTCATATTTTCTTATTTGTAATTTTTATTGGATACCAGCCATTGTGGACTTTTCCTTGCTAGGTGCTGAATATTTTTATATTTCTTTAAATATTCCTGAGCTTTGTTCTGGAATACAGTTAAGTTACTTGGGAACAGATTGATCCTTTCCAGCCTTACTTTTAAGCTTTACTAGTCAGAATTAAAGCTTCCTACTGTAGTGCTAGGTTTTCCCGACAGCTTCATTCAGCTTCATTCCCACAACTTCCCACATCCTCCTCTCAGGGGCTCCTTGCTTTCCTTTGAAATCTGGGTGGAAGCCTCCCTGACCCTATAACTCTTGTATTCTGTATGTCTGAACGGCCAGCATCACGTGGATGCCACAATGGTTGGCTGCCATGGCCTGGGAGTGCCTGGATGGCTGAGGACAATAAATCCTGGGAACCAATTTCCTGGTAGACATTTCTTGAGGAAGTGACTCAGGAGCTCTTCTTAAATGAAAGGTTTATATTTTTTACACCCTTGAACCAGCAAAGGTTGGGATCTTGCTGATTCTTGAGAGGCCCTAAAGGCACCTTTCTTCTTGTTCCAATTCAATGTCTTTGGTTTTTTTCTTGTTGGTACCAGGGATAGTGCTCAGGACCTTGCACTTGCAAGGCAGGTGTGGCACCACTGAGCTAAATCCCCAGCCCTCCTTGGTTTCTTTTTAAATAGTGTTAATCTCTTCAGCAACCACACCTCCTTTGTCCAACTTGACAGGTGGTTCTTTCTGGACCGAAATTTAAGTTTTTAAAAATACTTCTGCTAGCCGGGGATTTAGCTCAGTGGGTTTGCCTCCTGCTGCACAAGCTCAAGGACCAGAGTTCAATTCCTGCTACCAAAAAAAAAAAAACTTCTGCTCTGCTTTTTGCTCCCAATTCTTACTATATATCTGGCTAAAAACAGGCAGCAGTCCCCAAGCCACAACCTGAACATTGGGGTGCCTTGGAATTTCTCCTATCAGATGGTTACAATATGGCATTTGGGTTTGCTCAGAAGATATGGGACAGGGAACCCAGCCTTCCAAGAATCTCAGAACAGTTCTCACAGTGGCTCTGGCCCAGTCCCCCACAGTCCCACAAGAAGCAGTTTAGGTAAAGGAAATGAGACTGTCTTCTGAAACACATCCACGGGAGACTTCTACACCATGCCCAAGAGTGTGTTTATTTCCTCCTAGGCCAGAGGCAGCACATGGATCTGGAAGCAGTGCACTCCAACCCATGTTGCCCTGTCATGTGATTGGTGTCCCACTGTTGTCATAGTTCATAGGGCAGGAAGAATAGAGAGTTCTCATATCTCCCCCTCACACATTCACCTGCCCCATAGTTTCCCCTGTTATTAACATCTTACATAGGGTTACGTTATATAACCCTTAGAGTGATACATTGGTACAGTTAACAGCCAATACTGATGCATATTATTGACTACAGTCCAGAATTTACATTCATTTTCACTGTTGTGCACTGTGTACAATGGGCTCTGCCTAATACACCATCTTACCCGCCACTCTGTGTCACGGGAATTTCACTGCCCTAAAAGTGCCCTATGCTCCATCCACCTGTCATCCCTCACTTCCCCTCTTAACTTCTGGAAATCACTTATTTATTTATTTATTTATTGGTCCCAGGAAATTCACCTTTTCTGGGGTGTCAGATAGTTGGAATGAGTAGTAGGCACTTAGTAAAGACATTCAGTGAAGGGATGGCCATTGTGACGTCTGCTGCAGCTCTGAGGAGAGGTGGCTTTGCAGCGATGACAGTGAGCTGAAGGGAAGGGACAGGCAGGAGAGATGGAGAGGGCTGGTGCCTGGGTGCCTGGGCATGGTACAGGAGAAGGAGGAGCTAAGTTGGCGAGCTGCATTCTCATCCAGGTGTCCAGGAAAAGAGAATAAACAGGCAGATGTCTGCATGATGTCCTGAAGATTTTCTTTTGTGCAGATCATAGAGGAAGAGTTGCATGCACAAGCCCTTATTCTGGAGTCACTCAACACAAACCTTTACCAAACCCAGCTGGAACTCCAGAGAGAGGTGACTCCTGGTGGGGTGAGGCAGGGCTGGAGGATGCAAAGTATCTTGCTCTGCTGTCTGGTGACTACCCTGGGTGTCCCTGGGGAAGGCAGCTACCAAAACATATGTCTTTCAGAAAGCTGCAGTGGGAAACTTAGAGAAAATGTTGCAGAGCAAGCTTGCTGAGCTTGAAGACAAGTACAAGTGCACCATACAGAATCTTACGGAAGAGAACATTCACCTAAGGTGCGGATGCTGCTGCCTGGATGGCTGAGCCATCCCAGGAGTGGGAGGTGTTTGAGAGAGGAGTGGGTGGGGAAGGTAAACCAGGTGCTCTTCGGGGAGGTCCACCTCACTGAGCGGGCCACGTGTCTCCTGCAGAGCTCATGCTGCTCACTGGGGATGGGCTGGGCTTCTCCCCCTTACTGTGCCTCTTTTTGTCTTCAAAATGACACAGGAAGCTCACCTGTAATTTCTGAGATTATTTATTCTCTGTCTGAGTGTTGCTTTTTAGGTCTACCTTTCCTGAGGGTTTGGTGGTT